TTTGTCATTTCAGACAGGCTCAGTCAGCTTGGCCATTTCATCGGGGTGCATCATCTGGCCATGGTTCTCACAGTTCTCATCAGGGCCACTCATCACTTAGTGGCCTTTTAGTTCAAAGTTCGTCCCGTGCTTCGCCTGTTCAGGGCTCTTCCATGCCAGGTTCTTCTACCAGTCATCCCGGTGTTAGAGGTTCCCTTCAGTTTCCGCCGCCAGCACCAGGGAGTTATTTTGAGTGTGGGGAGCTTTAGCATATGTAGAGGCAGTGTTTTCGTCGTAATGGAGATCTATCTCAGCAGAGGAGTCAGCCTCCGACTACAGCACCAGTTACCTCACCACCTGCCCAGTCAGCTCGGGGTGGAGGTAAGTCAGCTAGGGATCGCCCTAGAGGGGGAGGCAGATCAGGGGGTGGTCAGGCCCATTTTTATGCTATCCCTACTAGACCAGATGCTATTGCTTCAGATGCTGTGATTACAGGTATTGTCTCAGTTTGCCATAGAGATGCCTCAGTATTATTTGACTCTGGTTCCACGTATTCATATGTTTCCTCGTATTTTGCCCATTTTCTGGATATGCCCCGTGGGTCCTTAGTTTCATCTGTACATGTATCTACTCCTGTGGGCGATACTATTATTGTGGACCGAGTATATCAGTCATGTGTGGTGACTATTGGGGGTCTGGAGACCCGAGTAGATCTATTGTTGCTCAGTATGGTTGACTTTGATGTGATATTGGGTATGGATTGGTTATCTCCATGTCATGCTGTTCTAGATTGTCATGCTAAGACGGTGACGTTGGCTATGCCGAGAATTCCAAGGGTTGAGTGGAGCGGTTCTATAGATTATGGGTGATTTCATATTTGAAGGCTCAGTGTATGGTTGAGAAGGGTTGCCTATCTTATTTGGCTTTTGTGAGGGATGTTAGTGCAGAGACTCCTATCATTTATTCTGTTCCGGTGGTATGTGATTTTCCGAATGTATTTCCTGCAGACCTACCGGGCATGCCGCCTAACAGGGATATTGACTTTGGTATTGATTTGGTGCCGGGCACTCAACCCATTTCTATTCCACCGTACTGTATGGCACCGGTGAAGTTGAAGGAATTGAAAGAACAGCTTCAGGAACTCCTTGATAAGGAGTTTATTCGACCTAGTGTGTCACCTTGGGGTGCACCGGTTCTATTTGTGAAAAAGAATGATGGTTCCATGAGAATGTATATTGATTACAGGCAGTTGAACAAGGTCACAGTCAAGAACAAGTATCCTTTGCCTCGTATTGATGATTTATTCGACCAGCTTCAGGGAGCGAGGGTGTTCTCCAAGATTGATTTGAGGTCCGGTTATCACCAGCTGAAGATTCGGGATTCAGATATTCTCAAGACAGCTTTCAGAACCCGATATGGCCATTATGAGTTCTTGGTGATGTCTTTTAGGCTGACCAATGCCCCAGCAGCGTTCATGCATCTGATGAACAGTGTATTCTAGCCCTATTGGGACTCATTCATCGTTGTATTCATTGACGACATCCTAGTGTACTCTCGTAGCCAGGAAGAGCACACTCAGCATTTGAGGGTTGTGTTGCAGAGATTGAGGGAGGATAAGCTTTGTGCAAAGTTCTCTAAATGTGAGTTTTGGCTCAGTTCAGTAGCATTCTTGGGACATGTGGTGTCCAGTGAGGGTATTTAGGTTGATCCGAAGAAGATAGAGGTGGTGCAGAGTTGGCCCAGACCGTCCTCAACCACAGAGATTAGGAGCTTTCTTGGTTTGGCGGTTACTATCATCGCTTTGTGGGGGGATTTTCATCTATTGCATCGCCCTTGACCAAATTGACCCAAAAAAGTGCTCCATTCAGGTGGTCGGATGAATGTGAGAAGATCTTTCAGAAGCTCAAGACTGCTTTGACCACAGCTCTAGTGTTAGTTTTGCCATCAGCTTCAGGTTCTTACACCGTGTATTGTGATGCCTTGAGGATAGGCATTGGTTGTGTTTTGATGCAGGAGGGTAGGGTGATTGCCTATGCCTCGTGCCATTTGAAGACCCATGAGAAGAACTATCCTATCTATGATCTTGAGTTAGCAGCCATTGTTCACGCCTTAAAGATTTGGCGTCATTATTTGTATGGGGTTCATTGTGAGATCTATATTGATCACCGGAGTCTACAGTATCTGTTAAAGCAGAAGGATCATAATTTGCGTCAGCGGAGATGGTTAGAGCTTCTTAAGGACTATGATATCATTATTTTGTACCATCCGGGAAGGCCAATGTGGTGGCCGATGCTTTGAGTCACTGGGCAGAGAGTTTGGGGAGTTTAGCATATCTTCCAGCAGCAGAGAGACCTTTGGCATTAGATGTTTAGACCTTTGCAGGCAAGCTTGTCAGACTGGATATTTCGGAGCCTACTCGGGTATTGGCTTGTGTGGTCTCCAGGTCTTCTCTTTATGACCGTATCAGGGAGCATCAGTATGATGACCCTCACTTGCTAGTTCTTCAGGATAGGGTTCAGAGAGGTGATGCTGGGGATGTGACTATTGGTGATGACGGGGTGCTGAGAATGCAGGGCCGGATATGTGTGCCTAATGTAGATGGGCTTCGAGAGCTGATTCTTGAGGAGGCCCACAGCTCGCGGTATTCCATCCATCCGGGTGCTGTGAAGATGTACCAGGATTTGAGGCAGCACTATTGGTGGAGGCGGATGAAGAAGGATATAGTTGGGTTTGTAGCTCGGTGTCTAAACTGTCAGCAGGTTAAGTATGAGCATCAGAGACCGGGTGGCTTGCTTCAGAGGTTAGAGATCCCAGAGTGGAAGTGGGAGCGGATCACTATGGACTTTGTAGTTGGGCTCCCACGGACTTCGAGGAAGTTCGACGCTATTTGGGTTATTGTGGATCGGCTAACCAAGTCCGCGCACTTCATTCCATTTGGTACTACTTACTCTTCAGAATGGTTGGCTGAAATTTACATCCGAGAGATCGTTCGCCTGCATGGTGTCCCAGTTTCCATCATTTTANGGATTATCGTTGAAGAGTTCAATTCACCAACTTCACAATTGTTTCACAAATTATAACAATAAAGTAAGCAATAGTAGCAATNAAGGGCCTTGCAGTGAGAGTTGGGTACTCAAGTTGAGTTAAGCATAGCTTTTCACCCTCAGTCCGAGCGCACTATTCAGATATTGGAGGACATGTTGCGTGCTTGTGTCATTGACTTTGGGGGAAAATGGAAAAAAATGTAATTATAAAAAGTTTGGGATTAAAACAAAGTTTGGGGGGTTAAATGGCTATTTTATAAATANCAATTATAAAAAGTTTGGGATTAAAACAAAATTGGGGGGTTAAATGGCTATTTTATAAATAGCCAACGGCTATTTTTGACAGCCCAACGACTATATTTAAAATAAAATAAAAAAATTTAAAAAAAAAATAGCCGTTGGGACCGTTTGGCCCGCTAAGGAACCGGGCTAAACGGTCTCGGGCCCTAACGGGCTAAACGGTCACGGGTCTGACGGGCCCAAATCATAGGACCGGCCCAGGCCCACTAAAATCGGGCCAAACAGTCCTGGCCCGCTTAGCCCGTTTGGCCCGCGGTCCCGGACCTGGACCTGCCCACTTGCCACCCTTAGTGTACACCAATCCCGGCCTTTTATTTGCTTTAAATAATAAAATAGTATAAGAGTTTTGTTATAAATAACTCATGAAATTTTCCTATTGAAAACTGGGGTAGAAATATTTTTTGTTTGTTTGTTTTGGGTATCTGAGCAGGTTTTACCTCGAGGCACGGGGGTTTGAGATGACTAAAAGAAGAAGTCTCAATTCAAGGAATAAAAAATGAATGAAAAATGCATAAGTGGATGAAAGTATGTGGACTGCTCATGACATGACTGATGTCACAAGCATTACATTTTTCGTTTTGATTAGAAGAACCTTTAGAAGAATGAACTAGCACCTCCAACTAGCAAGCATCAAGGTTTATATCAGAGTGTGCATGAAGAACCAACCAAGACTCGAGATCAAGTTTAAGAAGATTTAGAGATAGGAACCTTGTAACTCATAGTTGATAGGCTTGTTTAGTTTTTTTTTTATTTTGATTTTGGTGTAATAAAGAGTTCAACAAGCAGTAACAATAGCAACATCAGTGAGATCACAAATTTTCGGTAATCCCATCTACCAAAATTCCCAGAACTACACTCACCTGATTCCTTTATAGCCAATGATATGTAGGCAACCTCCGAAGCAAGGTTCGGTCAAACTTTTTCTAAATGCTTCCGAATGGAGTTTAAAACGGGCAAAAATTGCTCGTAATTGCTAATCCCTAATCTCCGTTCAATTTCGTCAGAAGTCACACCAAAATTATGGATTTTTAGATCCAAAATTTCCAGAAAAAAAAATCCTAGTCCTAACTGGTTTGATTTCTTTGGTATTTTTTTGGTCGTTTTGGTTTCAAACTCACATGAATCGATTGCTCTTGCTCTTAACAAGAGCAATCGTTTTAGGTTAGTTTTAATCCATTTCGAAATATACCGGATTCCGGTCAACCCCGCTTCGACGGCCAGAGCTCATATCCTCCATTTCTCGCTGGTCTATCTTGTTCGCTGGATTCGATCCAGAGCTCATATGGTATCCATTCTGTTTTCGTCTTTTTCTGATTCTTTATCGCCGATTGCCTAGTGAGTTTCAGTTTTTGGATTGCATGGTTGATAGATTAATTAATGGATTAATTTAGTTTAATTGAGAGTAGTTTTAGTCAAATCTTATTTGCATTTATTTTAAATCCTTGATTGTAATTAAAGTTTCAAAATATGGCATGTAGTTCTTCTTTTTTTCTTTTCGAGTGTGCTTTTCTTTGAAGCCAGATTTGCTCTACTTTGGGTCGTTTGGCCAGGTCATTCGGCCCAAATCTAAGCAGATATTTTACTTCTAGAAGGGAATAGAAGAGGGGTTTTCTGAAAGGGATCGGACTTAGAGGATTTAGGAGCCAAAAATTAAAAGAAAAGGGGGATAAGGATAAGGAATTAATAGTAGATGGCCAGCTGGCCCTTTTCAGTTATAGATATTTCCTCCCCTCTCTGACATTCCCTAAATTCACGCTGAAATATTCCCTCCATTGGACCCTCTCTCATTTTATTTTGAGCATAGTATATATACACTCATTGGCATAGAATTGAATTCATGGATTCACGTCTGCATTCACCGATTCTCTCATATAGGAATTCTGTATTTTTCAGAAAACATCACTAACTCTCCAAATTTCAGAATCTTTTCTTCATTTTTACCTTGAATTCTTGGCAGAAAACTTGACATTCTTCTGTCCACACTGATTCCTTTTAAAAACAAAATCTAAAGTTCAAAAATAGATATAGAAAACGAAAAAGGAAAAAAAAGGAAGGGACAAAGTTATTTTGTTCTTCTATCTTTACTGGTTTGCTTCATCTTTTGTCTGTGATTTCGAATAGCTTTCAAGCTGTTGGAACTGTGTGTTCGATTGTGAGCTTGCTGCTATTTTTGTTAGTTGGATCTTCACTTTCCATCTTTGATTCAGATTTGTCAAGTTTCATCTCTTGATTCTGCTTCTAGGTATGTTGAAACTCTCTCTGTAACTCTCTTGAATGTGTTAATGAAGAATTGAATGACTTGATGTGTTCACATCTTATTCCGTATGTTTGTGTTCAACTATTAGGTTAGTCTATCTTTGATCGAACTGTTATAGCATGCTATTCGAATGACAAATCTAGTTTCATAATGAATCTGATTTTTAGCTCGTTTTATGCAATTCCTGATGTTAAGAGTTGGCTGAGTTTAAAGCATGACATTAAAATCAATTGAGTTTAAAGATGTTATGTGTGATTCAATGATAATACTTGAGTTTATAGAAGCAAAATATTTCTCGATCATACTTGATTGCACTCCAGATACAAGTCATCAAGAACAAATTTCTTTTATACTACGGAGTGTGGATATTTCGGCAACTCCAATAAAAATTAATGAATATTTTTTAGAAGTTTTAAAAGTAGATGATACAAGCGGAAAAGGTCTTTTTGAAGTTATTATAGATGAAATAAAAAAATATTGGACTTGATATTGATAATTTAAGAGGGCAGGGATATGATAATGGGTCCAATATGAAGGGAAAACATCAAGGAGTGCGAAAAAGACTTCTTGATGTAAATCCTAGATCATTTTATACACCACATGATTGTCATAATCTAAATTTGTTACTTTGTGATATGGCTAATTCTTGTACAAAAGCTATATCATTTTTTGGAGTGGTACAACGTATATATTCACTATTTTCATCTTCCACTAAGCGATGAAAAGTATTAAAGGATAGTGTACCTAGTCTAACTCTTAAATCATTGTCACAAACTCGTTGGGAAAGTCGTATTGAAAGTATTAAAGCAATAAGATTTCAAACTCCACAAATAAGAGATGCTTATTGAAATTAGTAGAAATTAGTGGTGATCTAAAAACTAAAAGTGAAGCTAATTCCTTAGTAACATATGAACTCGAAAATTTTAAATTTTTATTGGGTATGACTATTTGGTATGATATATTATTTGTTGTAAATTCAGTTAACAAAAGTATGCAGTCAAAAGACATGCATATTGATGTTGCCATAGATCAATTAAAAGGTTTGATTTTTTTTTAACAAATATAGAGAAGAAGAATTTGCAACTGCTATGATTTCTGCCAAGGAAATTGCATTTGAAATGAATATCGAACCCGAATTTCGTAAGAAACATGTGATCTCTAGGAAGAAAAAATTTGATGAGAATGTTGATAATGAAATCTCAAAGTATCTTGAAGAGTCCTTTAGAGTTGATTACTTTTTATACATAGTAGACAATGTTATTTTTTCACTTCAAAATAGATTTGAACAATTTGAAGCATATGAAAATATTTTTGGATTTCTATTTAGTGGTAAAAAACTAAGATCACTATGGAAATTTAAAAACACATTGCCTTAATCTTGAATTTTTCTTAAAGCATAATAATCAATCCGATATTGATGGTTTAGATTTATTATCTGAGTTGAAAGTATTAAGGGAAATAGTACAAGTAGAAGATAATAGTTTAATCGATATACTCAATCAAATAAAGAGACTTGATTCTTTTCGAAATGCATATATTGCTTATAGAATAATGTTAACAATTCTAGTTACCATTGCTTTAGCGGAAAGAAACCTTTCAAAATTAAAATTGATAAAATCTTACCTAAGATCAATAATGTCTCAAAAAAGATTAAATAGGTTAGTTATATTGTCAATTGAGAAAGACTTATTAGGAGAAATTGATTATAAGAAAATTATTAGTAACTTTGCATCTAAAAAAGCTAGAAAAATTGACTTCAAATAATAATAAAAAAATTAAAATATTAAGGCCCCTCATTAAAATTTGACTTTAGGCCCCTAGGCCCCAAAATACGCCGGCCGCCCCTAGATAACAGTTTTATGCCTTGTGATTGTGAATTAAGAATCAGCTTGAGAAGTAAAGGTATACTTGAAAAGGTGATAAAATCAGGGTCTCATTGAAGGAATGTGAAGAAATGGAATGAAAAGTATGGTTTAGGATTTGGCTATTGGTGCAAAACGGTTACACATCTTGATTTAAGCTCATTGTACCTGGTTTTAAAATTTGAGTGCATGATGTTCTTTTTTCCAGAATTTGTTCCAACACGGGCTTACATGAAATGGGCCAGAGTTGTAAATTGGCCCAGTTGGGAGTTGTTTGAGCAAGTTTGGACCTCAGGTCGTTGGGCCTGGGATGTTGAACCCAATGATTTGGCCCGGATCCACTAGAATGATAGTTAACTATTATGTTTATTTCCATTCTTATGATAGTAATACCTTAATCAATCTGCCTCTTTTCAATTTGTTAAAATGTTGGTTTGAACAAGTAATTACTTAGTATATGCTTCATCACGATTTTCCATCATCAATCCAAGCACGTGAAACCATTTTGATGCGTTAATTTCTTTGGGCAGTGTAAAATGATTAACTCTCTGATTCAACAATTCTTTCCATAATCCATGGCCTTACAACAAATCTCAATAGTAGTTTAGGAAAATAATTAAATATCATAGTTTGCTTTAGGCACGACTAATAAATTATCGTGGCCATGAGTACATTTCCCGTGGCTTGGTCGCGATACATAATTCTCATTTCGGGTGTGCATTTTATGCAACTCGACCACAACTTCAAATAATAATAAAAATAAACATGTTGCAAATCGCGGGTGCATTTCATGTGGCGCGATTCGCAATATGTACAAAAACAAATGAGTGCGCGACATCGCGACTTGTTCAAATAAATCCCATAAATACTAAAAACGGCCAAATAATTAATTAAAAGCGGTTAGAAAGTAAAAATGCACAATAGATTTTAAACATCTAATAAATCAGATAATTAGGCCAATTATTAATAGTTGAGCGACCGTGCTAAAATTACGAAACTCGGGAGTGCCTCACACTTTCTCCCGAGTAGACAGAATTTCTTACCAGGTCTTCTTTGTTCGCGGACCAAAAATAGAGTCAATTTCCTCGATTTGGGATTTTAAAATAAACCGGTGACTTGGGACACCATAATAATTATTCCAAGTGGCGACTCTAATTAAATGAATAATCCTATTTCAAATAATGTCACTTTAATTGGAAAAACTCTCTATCCCCTCGGAAAAAAGGAAGTGTGACAATGTTATAACAATCATTGATTGTGTAATGATCTGACCATTCGTTTTGAGTATTTTTGTCCCCAATTAATTATTGCCTCCTCTATGTTACTTTATGATTATGTGATTTGCCGGTGGTGTTTGCTTATAGTTTCAGGCAAGTTTCGGAGTGAAATGTGACATATAGTCCCAAAGGTGGGACTTTAAGTTGAAAGAGTTGATCATAATTTGACTTTTGTGTAGATGACTCTGAAATGGAGTTTTGACGGTTCCAATAGCTCCGTATAGTGATTTTACACTTAGGAGCGTGTTTGGATGTTGATTTGGAGATTCGTAGGTCGTTTCAGCGTGAATTGACGAAAGTTAGAAAATTTAATATTTGGAAGGTTGGAAAGTTTGATCGGGAGTTGACTTTATTGATATCGGGGTCGTATTCCGATTCCGGAAGTTGGAATAGGTCCATCATGTCATTTATGACTTGTGTGCATAATTTGAAGCCAATCGGAGTTGTTTTGAATGAATCGACATTAGTTTTGCAATTCGGAAGTTCATAAATTCCTTACGCTTAAATCAATGCGTGATTCGTTGTTCTAATATTGTTTGATGTGATTTGACGCTTACAGCGTGTTCGTATGAGGTTTTAGTACATGTTGGTATGTTTGATTGAGGTCCCGGGGGCCTCAGGTGTAATTCAGACCATGTTTGACGCATTTCGGAACCTTGAAGAATTGTTGAAGCTGCTGAATTTTCTGATGTCTGGTTTCCTTCTTCGTGTTCGCGAGAGAGGTCTCGCGTTCACGAAGGATATCTGGGAGGCATGTGAGGTTTGTTCTTCACGTTCGCAAAGATGGCCACGCGTTCACAAAGGTATAAGGTGTTATTCACCGCATTCGCGTATCGCGTTCGCATAGGCCTGGGCTCAATGTTAGTCGCATTAGTGTGGAGGGGCCTCGCTTTCTTGAAGAGGGATTTGACAGCTTAGTATTTTAGGGTGCGGGCAGAATTACCCCTAGGATTGATGTTGTTTGTGATAACTCTGATGTGTGAAAGCCGTGTACGCAAGGTGATGAGTGTGTACATAGGATAAACGTGAAAATTACCGATTTTAGCTATGTCGATTCCTTTCATGCCTTAATTGAGTTATCTTATTTTCATATGTTCTACTTGTCTTATCTCTTACTTGCAAATTGCTCTACATGTTTAATTGAAGTTCTTGTTTCCTTTATTTTGTATTCATTATTTAACCGTTGAACTCTTTACTTGAACTTGTCATTCTTGGAATATCTTGTTGTTGAAATTGGTATTGAGTTATAAGGGTCGTGATTCACATTGAGGCAAAGTGTTAAGTGGTGAAATACTATTATGTTAAGTCATTCACTTTCGGTTGTTATTGTTGAGACTCTTGTGTACATTGTGGTTGAGCCATGGACTCTCTATTGTGAAAACACTATTATTGTTGATTTCTTTGGCAAGTTGTGATATTAGGCACTTGAGGTGCGATTTGTGTTACGTTGTAATATTGATACGTATGTAGTGATATAAGATTTTGGGGTTGAAATTCATGTGGTGAGATAAGGTGGGATTGATATGCGTGGCCAGTAGGGAAATTACTAGAAGTCATGCGGTGTGATAAAGTGGGCTAAAACGTGGGATGCTATTTCGGGAAAAATAATTTTCAAAATTAAATGCAAAGCTCCCGCGGTGATATAACGAAAGGTTGAGAATTATTCTTGTGATTTGAGACTACGAGGTGATACCTCGATAATGACTATTGTTGGTACTTCTCAATTACTTCACTTGTGTTTGGTTGTTTTGTTTCCTTGACTTACATTTCTTATTTTCTTCCGTGATGCATTATTTACCTTGATTCTGTGTAGTTAATTTGGCATATTCCTTACTCGTTTCGTTTCCATTATTATTATTATTATTATTATTATTATTATTGCACCGTTAAATTATTAGTCCTGATTCTTATTTATTCCAGTAAGGCTTTGGCCTCATGACCTCATTACTACTCTACCGAGGTTAGGCTTGACACTTATTGGGTACCGTTGTGGTATACTCATGCTACGCTTCTGCACATCTTTTGTATAGATCCAGGTACCTCCTACCAATCGAGGCATCAGTAAGCTATGTTCGTACTTGGAGTCTTCAAGGTACACCTGTCGGTGTCCGCATGCCGCAGAGTCACTTTCTATCTATTTCTATGTTTTTCCTCTTTTTATTAGATACGGTTGTATAGGGATGACTATGATACCGTTGTATATCTTGTGATTCGATATCACCAAGTTTTGGGAAAATTGTATATGTTGAGCAGCGGAGTTTATTTTATATAGTTGCAGAGTATTTAAGAGCTTATTTGATATTTCAATTATTTCCACATGTTTGTTAGGCTTACCTAATCTTTGAGACTAGGTGCCGTCATGACATCCTACGGAGGAAAATTGAGGTCGTGACAGATCGAATAGTAACAACATATACAAATTGAAGGTACTTTATGTACCCTCACTTCAGTATTAATTACAAAATTGAGAGTTTGGAATCTAAATATATCTCCTAAAGTTATGCAAGCTGTTTTTATCTTCTAATTGAACTCTGTAATATATGTGATGGAGATAACAATTGAATTTTTTCTCTGATGGAGCAACCTGTAAAATTTCAAAGCAGGATTCAAACACCAAAACTCTGATGGAGCAACTTGCAAAATTTCAAAGCAGGCTTCAAACACCAAAAGATGTATATGCTTGTTTGAAAAACTCGAGAGACAAAGTAGAAGCACAAAAAGGACTTTTGAGATTCCATTGAGGCTGGAAAAAGAAGTTAACACACATGTAATAATGTATGTTTGGCAGGTGAATATTTTCTTCAACTGATTAACTAAGTTTTTCAACTTGGGACAACTTATTCTTCCATTCCAACAATACCAAAAAAAATAAAATAATAATAATCAGATAGCTCCCAGTTCTCCAAAAGTTTTTCAAGACCCCAACTCCCATAATTAGCAAATCAAACTGCTAACTCTTGTTCGCAGTCCTCTTTCCTCACCACTCACTCCCTAGAAACCAGTTTATTAAAATAACAAATATTATGCTTTTAGTACTTGTGTGAACAACGAGATCTGATCCGCAAAAAGGGCATGGTAAAGTAGACATGAATAGAACCCGATACCATTAGCAATTTTCTCTTCTTCCTTCCTTTGCTAGCGGAATTGAAACTCTAACATGTAGAAGAGAAAACATCAGAAAATGACGGCACATTTTAAGCAATGAAGGTTGAGTGTTAATTAAGAAGGGTACCACATAAAGAGGAGGGAGAAAGAGAACATAGGGGAAACACAGAAAATAACCAAGATAAAACATTGTCCCTCAGTTTTTGACATCTTTTAATGTCTATGAGGACCACAACCGAAAACTTATCAATGATGACAGAGCTTTAAATAAGAATCCCTCCTCAATCTAGATGTTTATTTGTGTGCAAGTGTGAGATTTGAATTTAGCTCTTTGCACTTTTATAGCTCTGCAACATAATTTTTATGCCAAATGCACATAATAAAATAAGCTATGTAAACACTATGCTTTAAGCTTCATAGTTATATTTTTTTTGTTGAATACGTGTAAAACTCTGTTTTGACTCACACATACATTTGCCCTACTTCTAAGTAAAACATATAAGTATTAACTAAGAGATTGCCTTGTGGAGAACTGTTTGTTCTTTATATACCCACTACTCTTTCTAAGTTTTTAACTAATAGACATCCTCCTTTTTTTTCACCTGGTTTTAAATTACATACTTACTGCTATAAGACTGAAAGAAAGGTTCAAGGCCAAAAAGCTCTAATCCCTTCTACATGAGGATATCAAGCATTTAACGGGATTAGAGGAAAAATGAGCAACATTGTCAAGTCAATACGTTTATTGAGGAACAAAGATTCACAAGATATAAAAAGATTACTAAATATCCACATTTGAAACATTAAGTGATTGCAAAAAGGTGCATTTTTTATCTTCCATGAAAGAAACTTATTGCATATCGATGCATCCACTCTGAAGATTAATCATCTTAGTTGCTTATGCTCTCTTGAGCCCC